CCTTGCCTGCCGGAGGAGCTCACCGATGGGACCCTGCCCAGATCTTTCAAGGATTTGTGAGCTCCTCACACAATCCAGTCTGGTTAAACCCAGGATGGATCGTAGGCAGGTCAGCCTAAATGTTTCTAACCGGCGAAGATGTTCCATTAGGGGGGTCCACGTTTCGCAAGCGTAGAGAAGGGAGGGAATGACCGTGGCCGAGAAGACCTGAAGCTTAGTGCGGAGCGACAGACCAGGTAGCTTCCACACAGCGTTACGCAACCGATGAAAAGATATTGCCGCTCGACTGATTCGGAGTGAGACCTCTGCTGTTAAACTGGAGCCAGTCATAAGCACACTGCCCAGGTATGGGAAACTCTCCACTCTCTCCACAACTGCCCCATCACCGATTGGGAGTTGTGGGGGTGGAGTGTCCGATGGTACAAAATACCCAGGCAGGTGCTTAGTTTTGGTGGGGCTGATGGTAAGGCCCCACCTCTTAGTGGCACGCTCCAGTCTCAACAGCAGCGTCTCCAACTCCTCCTCTGACTGAGCAGCTATTACCAAGTCATCAGCATACATAACGTGGTTGAGCAATAGGGAGCCATCCCTTGACCGCACCCGGGCATCGATTAGCCTCCCATTATATCTGTACCATATGGAGATTCCCCCGGTACAGCTATTGAAGGCTTCACGAACTACGTGGTCAAAATAGATGTTAAATAATGTGGGAGCCAGAGGACATCCCTGTCGCACCCCAAGGTGTACAGGGAATGGCTCTGACTCCCGGCCACGTAGTTTTACCCGGGCCCGCTCACCATCATGAAGGTCCTTAATGATCGTGAGCAGAGGGTCAGGTACTCCAAAAGCACGAAGAACGACCCAGAGCCCAGGCCTACTGATGGTATCATAGGCCTTGACCAGGTCAATAAAGCAGAGATGTAGGTCTTGTTGGAATTCCCTACACCTCTGCTGTAGCAGACGGACAGAAAATATGGCATCTGTGCAGGACCGCCCTTTCCTGAAACCGCATTGGGGCTCCGCAAGCCTCTCCTCAGCGTGCCTGGCAAGGCGATGCTGAATAATCCTTGCCAGGACCTTTCCCGGCACACTGAGGAGTGAGATGCCCCTGTAGTTGTTACAGTCTGTGCGGTCCCCCTTCTTAAAAAGGGGGACCACCAGGGCATCCTTCCAATCCTGCGGAACCCGTCCAGTGGTCCAGACTGTTGTTATGATGTCATATAGGGCAGTCTGTGCACAAACGCCACCCTCCCTCAGCATTTCGCTGAGGGAGGGTGGCCCGGGTAAAACTACGTGGCCGGGAGTCAGAGCCATTCCCTGTACACCTTGGGGTGCGACAGGGATGTCCTCTGGCTCCCACATTATTTAACATCTATTTTGACCACGTAGTTCGTGAAGCCTTCAATAGCTGTACCGGGGGAATCTCCATATGGTACAGATATAATGGGAGGCTAATCGATGCCCGGGTGCGGTCAAGGGATGGCTCCCTATTGCTCAACCACGTTATGTATGCTGATGACTTGGTAATAGCTGCTCAGTCAGAGGACGCCACCCTCCCTCACACACACAGACACACACACACAGACACACACACAGACACACACACAGACACACACAGACACACACAGACACACACACAGACACACACACAGACACACACACACACAGACACACACACACAGACACACACAGACACACACACAGACACACACACACATACACACACACAGACACACACACGCGAGTCGTACACGCACAGAACGCCCCCCCGCCCCCCCCGGGCCAAGACCACCGGCCGTAGCGGCGTGGTGACCCCGAGCGAGAGAGGAGAGGGTGAGAGGGTGAGTGAGAGAGTGAGTGAGAGGGTGAGTGAGAGGGTGAGATGGTGAGTGAGTGAGAGGGTGGGTGGGTGAGTGGGTGAGAGGGTGGGTGGGTGAGTGGGTGAGAGGGTGAGAGGGTGAGAGGGTGAGTGAGTGAGAGGGTGAGTGAGTGAGAGGGTGAGTGAGTGAGAGGGTGGGTGAGTGGGTGAGAGGGTGGGTGGGTGAGTGGGTGAGAGGGTGAGAGGGTGAGAGGGTGAGTGAGTGAGAGGGTGAGTGAGTGAGAGGGTGAGTGAGTGAGAGGGTGAGTGAGAGGGTGAGTGAGAGGGTGGGTGAGTGAGAGGGCGAGTGAGAGGGTGAGTGAGTGAGAGGGTGAGTGAGTGAGAGGGTGAGTGAGTGGGTGAGTGAGTGTGTGGGTGAGTGTGTGGGTGAGTGGGTGGGTGAGTGAGTGAGTGAGTGGGAGAGTGAGTGAGTGGGTGAGTGAGTGAGTGGGTGAGTGAGTGGGTGAGTGGGTGAGTGAGTGAGAGGGTGGGTGGGTGAGTGGGTGAGAGGGTGGGTGGGTGAGTGGGTGAGAGGGTGAGAGGGTGAGTGAGTGAGAGGGTGAGTGAGTGAGAGGGTGAGTGAGTGAGAGGGTGAGTGAGAGGGTGAGTGAGAGGGTGGGTGAGTGAGAGGGCGAGTGAGAGGGTGAGTGAGTGAGAGGGTGAGTGAGTGAGAGGGTGAGTGAGTGGGTGAGTGAGTGTGTGGGTGAGTGTGTGGGTGAGTGGGTGGGTGAGTGAGTAAGTGAGTGAGTGAGTGGGAGAGTGAGTGAGTGGGTGAGTGAGTGAGTGGGTGAGTGAGTGGGTGAGTGGGTGAGTGAGTGGGTGAGTGAGTGGGTGAGTGAGAGGGTGAGTAAGAGGATGAGTGAGTGGGTGAGAGGGTGAGTGAGTGGGTGAGTGAGTGGGTGAGTGAGAGGGTGAGTCAGAGGGTGAGTGAGTGGGTGAGAGGGTGAGTAAGGGGGTGAGTGAGAGGGTGAGTGAGTGAGTGAGTGGGAGAGTGGGTGGGTGAGTGAGTGAGTAAGAGGGTGAGTGAGGGGGTGAGTGAGAGGGTGAGTGAGTGAGTGGATGAGAGAGTGAGTGCGAGGGTGAGTGAGTGACAGGGTGAGTGAGTGGGTGAGTGAGAGGGTGGAAGGCTGAGTGAGGGTGAGTGAGTGGGTGAGAGGGTGAGTGAGTGAGCGAGTGAGTGAGTGGGTGAGAGGGTGAGCGAGAGGGTCAGTGGGTGAGAGGGTGAGTAAAGGAGTGAGTGAGTGGGTGAGTGAGTGAGTGGGAGAGTGGGTGGGTGAGTGAGAGGGTGAGCCAGAGAGTGAGTGAGTGGGTGAGAGAGAGTGAGTGAGAGAGAGTGTGAGTGATTGAGTCGGTGAGAGTGAGCGAGCGAGTGAGTGGGTGAGCGAGTGTGAGTGAGGGCGTGTATGAGTGAGTGTGAGTTTGTGAATGAGAGAGTGAATGAGTGAGAGTGTGAATGAGAGAGTGAATGAGTGAGAGTGAATGAGCGAGTGAGCGAGTGAATGAGAGAGTGAATGAGTGAGAGTGAGGGCGTGTATGAGTGTGAGTTTGTGAATGAGAGAGTGAATGAGTGAGAGAGTGAATGAGTGAGTGTGAGTGAGGGCGTGTATGAGTGAGTGTGAGTTTGTGAATGAGAGAGTGAATGAGTGAGAGTGTGAATGAGAGAGTGAATGAGCGAGTGAATGAGTGAGAGAGTGAATGAGTGAGAGCGAGTGAGGGCGTGTATGAGTGTGAGTTAGTTTGTGAATGAGAGGGTGTGAGTGAGTGAGAGTGTGAGCGAGTGAATGATTGAGAGTGAGGGCGTGTATGAGTGAGTGTGAGTGAGTGTGAATGAGAGAGTGAATGAGAGTGTGAATGAGTGAGAGTGAATGAGTGAGTGAATGAGTGAGAGAGTGAATGAGTGAGTGAGCGAGTGTGAGTGAGAGTGTGAGTGAGCGAGTGTGAGTGAGAGTGTGAGTGAGCGAGTGAATGAGTGAGATTGAGTGAGGGCGTGTATGAGTGAGTGTGAGTTTGTGAATGATAGAGTGAATGAGTGAGAGTGTGAGTGAGAATGACAGAGTGTAAGAATGAGAGAGTGAATGAGTGAGTGAGAGAGTGAGCGAGTGTGAGTGTGAATGAGGGCGTGTATGAGTGAGTGTGAGTGAGTTTGTGAATGAGAGAGTGAATGAGTGAGAGTGTGAATGAGAGAGTGAATGCGTGAGAGTGTGATTGAGAGAGTGAATGAGTGAGTGGGCGAGTTTTAGAGTGAATGAGTGAGAGTGAATGAGTGTGAGTGAGGGCGTGTATGAGTGTGAATGAGTATGAGTGTGAATGAGTGAGAGTGTGAATGAGTGAGAGTGTGAATGAGTGAGAGTGGGAATGAGTTAGAGTGAACGAGAGAGTGAATGAGTGAGTGAGCGAGTGTTAGAGTGTGTGTCCTGGGCCTCACATAGGTCGACTCAGCCTCAAATGAGTACCTGGTGTAGCGGTGTGTAAACATCGCCACTGGGGGAGACAAAGGCGGTCGGGCGTGGTGCTGGCCACCCACCCCCTCGTGTACCACAGTGCCGGTAGCCTTCACAGGTGCTGCTCGCTAACAGCACTTGCCCCTACAGCCTGCTAGAGGCTACACGGGGGATCTTTGTCTGTGTAGGTAGCTACCACTAACAGCACTTGCCCCTACAGCCTGTTAGAGGCTACACGGGGGATCTTTGTCTGTGTAGGTAGCTACCATTAACAGCACTTGCCCCTACAGTCTGCTAGAGGCTACACGGGGATCTTTGTCTGTGTAGTTAGCTACTACTAACAGCACTTGCCCCTACAGCCTGCTAGAGGCTACACGGGGGATCTTTGTCTGTGTAGGTAGCTACTAGCTACTACTAACAGCACTTGCCCCTACAGTCTGCTAGAGGCTACACGGGGGATCTTTGTCTGTGTAGGTAGCTACTACTAACAGCACTTGCCCCTGCAACCTGTTAGAGGCTACACGGGGGACCTTTGTCTTTGTGTGTGACACAGCGAGATTGTATAATTGTAGTTGTATAACAATAAGAGTAAAATAATTGTATAATAGCAACAACAATAATAATTGTAGTTGTATGACAACAATAAAAGTATAATATTAATAGAAGAATAAAAATAAAAATTATAATCTTTGACCTCCCACCTGGAACTCTGAGAAGTCCTCGCAGTTCACGGCTGCCATGGGCGCCGCCATGACACCGGGAGGAGGGGGCGGGGCTTCCCGGCGGGGTCCTCGCATGCCGGGGAAGACCTCGACAGAGGTGGCCGCGGCCGGTGCCTGATTGTAATTTTAATTAACTTAATTTATTATTCCTTGCTCAGAAGTTGTACATTTATTTTTCTACCTACGCGACTATTGCCGAAATAACTGAGCAGGAAAGGGTGATCTGGTCTAAACGCCATCATCATTAGATCTCCTTTGCCAGTATCAAAATGTAATAATAATAGAGAGGTTTTTCCCCTTTTTTCTAGCAACAAAACTGAAACCTTCTTACAAGGATCCATGCCTACTGCATTAACCACAATACCTGCAGTCGAAATGCGAACAAAAAACACCACACTGTGATAATATGATGATGCATTGTCCTTGAAGCTGATTGGTCCACACCGAGGGACGGCTTTCCTTTGAGCCTCGACCCAATTGGTGCCCGACCAGATGACGTCAGAAGGCGTCACGCAGCTCAAAGACAATGGACTATCAGAGTAATGAGGGCTCGGGGTGAGCATCTGTATCATCATTAGACCTCCTTTGCCAGTAACAAAATGTAATAATAATAGAGGTTTTTCACATTCCCTATTACCGTACAAAAACCGGAGGAAGGGCCTTTGCTATTGATGCCCCCAGAGTCTGGAATGCTATTGCCAATAAACTGCAACTTGAATCGGTACCAATGAAATCTTCACTCAAAACTGCTCTAGAGGAGTTGTACACCCCTAGCTGCCACTGCTATTCATTGGCGTAAAATCAAATCAAATGTTTCGCTCCGGATGACGCTGCAAAGTATTATCTGTATTTTGATTATCTGTATTTTGATTTAGCGTCCTGATCTTAAAGGTGCATTGAAGAATGTGATACTCCGACTGATGCTTCTGTTGTTGTGGAGTAACTCATGCAGCCAGCTATGGCTCAAGGATTTGGTGTTACATGTTATTTACGTAGTTTATTGTAAAAATTCGGTCACAGTCCTTGTGATCACTGTTACGTTGCAATTATGGCTTTATTTTTTGGTGATTTGGAAAACGTTTTTTGGTTTGGACATGTTTGTTTGGCTGTAGTACGGAGTTAGACTGATGGCCTTAATCTAAGTTGTCTTGTGGTTGTTGTTGTTGTTTGACTTGCATCCCACTGGGATTTTTTGCACACAGCGTTGGTAGTGTACGCTGCTTTTTTCAGGAATATTTTTGCTTTTTTTTATCATGGATTTTCTGTTTGCACAGTCAACACAAAGTCACTTTAAGATGTTTCTCTTGTTCTGGACACTCTCTGTTTCAGCTACTCCCCTCCGGCAGAAGGCTTCGGTCCATCAGGACCAAAACCTCACGCCATAAAAACAGTTTCTTCCCATCTGCTGCTGGCCTGTTAAACAAGGCCAAGGGTAACACTGATTTTAACATTTTATCTACATGATGACACCTTGCCGATATTAACTATGTTAACCTATTTGTATTTTTAAATTATATCTTAAAGCTATCTTATATTCGATATTTATTCAATTTTATATACTTCAGCCCCTTGGTGTTAGTTAGACTTTTAACCCTTATTATTATAGTAAGACTTGTTTAAAACTTATTTAAGATTTTAGATTCCTTTTTGTTGAATGTATGCACCATCCTGCCAAAGTAAATTCCGTGTCGGTGTGAACTTTCATGGCGAATAAAACCCTTTCTGATTCTGATTTTGTTTTATTGTTTGTTGTGGTTGCACCCGATTCAAGAGCCGAATGGCTCACAGGGCTATACCAAAATAAATAAACTGAAAAACTGAAATCTTATTGTCAGAGTGTGTTTTTTGTTTGTATTCTGACCACAAGAATTGTGGTTTAATGCAGCGACTTGATCCCTCGTGAAAGGTTTCGGTTTGGTGTTTTAAAATCGTAATGCGAAAGAAGTGGAAAACCTCTTCTCGTGTTGGTACTGGCAAAGGGACGTCGCATCATGCGTTATATCTTATTAAATTTATTTTTTATTTATTAGATTTTTTTATTTGATTGATTTTATTTAAATTTTCATTTTAGAAAAAATGTGTTCTGTATGAGATTTTTTGTTATTCATTTCTGCCGGAAAAGATTCATCCGATGAGTTCAACGTTGGAGTCTATGGGTAGAGACTTTAACGTTGGAGTCTATGGGTAGATACTTTAACATTGGAGTCTATGGGTAGAGACTTTAACATTGGAGTCTATGGGTAGAGACTTTAACATTGGAGTCTATGGGTAGAGACTTTAACATTGGAGTCTATGGGTAGATACTTTAACATTGGAGTCTATGGGAGACTTTAACATTGGAGTGTATGGGAGACTTTAACATTGGAGTCTATGGGGAGAGACTTTAACATTGGAGTCTATGGGGGACTTTAACATTGGAGTCTATGGGTAGAGACTTTAACATTGGAGTCTATGGGTAGATACTTTAACATTGGAGTCTATGGGAGACTTTAACATTGGAGTGTATGGGAGACTTTAACATTGGAGTCTATGGGTAGAGACTTTAACATTGGAGTCTATGGGGGACTTTAACATTGGAGTCTATGGGTAGAGACTTTAACATTGGAGTCTATGGGTAGAGACTTTAACATTGGAGCCTATGGGGGACTTTAACATTGGAGTCTATGGGAGACTTTAACATTGGAGTCTATAGGAAACTCACTCAGTGGAGTAGTATTTTTGTATACTTTAGTAGTGTGATGGGAATTTGTAGGATGAACGTTGAAATGTATAAGGGCACGGGGTGACCAATACGGTCTGAATTGGTCTATAGTAAGATAGGGCACTGATAAGGGGTTGACAGGTGTGACTCACCCACCGACTCACCCACTCACCCACCCACTCATCCACCCACCCACGCACTCACCCACCCATCCACTCACCCACCCACACTCACCTACACACCCACCTACCCACCCACTCACCCATCCACACTCACCTACACACTCACCCACCCACTCACTCAACCACCCACACTCACCTACACACTCACTCACCCATCCATCCACTCAACCACCCATAATCACCTAAACAACAACAACAACGACCGCCATTCGCCACTAAATGGCGGTGACGTCACCACGACGCTTGTGCCAGGCTATGTGCACCTTGAGGCCACGTGAAGTGTCGAACGCCCGCTGGCAGGAGGTCACGGGGCAGACCCAGGTGCCACGGGTCGACTGACTGAGATGACTGGCTGATGCACCACCTGTGCCCCCTACTGTGCCAACCTGCTTGTGCTTTAGCCACCCGGCGCTCCGCTCGTTGTTGTGAGCGTCGCTCCTCCGCCCTCCGTTGTTGTTGGAGGGCGACTACCTCCAACTGCCCAGTAGCGTCCTTCACGAGCCTCCTCCACAGAGGCCGATCTTGACACCGCTGGTACCAGTCATCGGCAAGTCCACTCAGCTCCACGTCCTCCTGTACCACATCACTCCATCTCTTCTCTAGCCCGTGCCGCGCCCGCTTAGCCCCCTCAATCTGGCCGAACAAAAGCTGTTTCGGCATGCGGTGGCTGGGCATGCGGGCTACATGGCCCAGCCATCGCAGCCTTGCCTGCCGGAGGAGCTCACCGATGGGACCGTGCCCAGATCTTTCAAGGATTTGTGAGCTCCTCACGCAATCCAGCCTGTACTTTTTTTTGTAGCGATTCAAGTTGCAATGGTGTCGGATACAGGTACCTTGGTGAACAGGGAGACCACATCGAAACTGACAAGCAAATAATCTGGAGACAGTGAGATGTCCTTGATTAGAGAAACCAAGTGAGCTGAGTTAAGTACAGCTGAGGTGGTCTTGCCCGTGAAAGGAAGCAGGCTCTCAGATAGAAATTGGGCCAGTTTGTAGGTGGGTGAGTTAATGGTGGAGATGATAGGACGGAGCGGGGTACCTTCTTTGGAAGGCCATAAAATCTGGGTGGTCTAGCAGCCGAAGGTTTTTAGAGAGGATGCGATTCCTGACATGCAATACCCGGGGTGTCTACAAACTGAGTTGCTCCTGTGGTGATTGTTACATTGGGGAAACTAAGCGACATGTAGTAATAGGTTTTACCCTTTTAACTGGCACAAAAAAACTGACACCTTAATTCAAGGCATCGTGTCTGCAATAACCACAACACAAGCAGTCAAAATGCAAACAAAAAGACAACTCTGATAATAATAATATGCACTGTCCTTGAATTTGATTGGTCCACACCCGAGACGGCTTGTCTTTTTGTTTGCATTTTGACTGCTTGTGTTGTGGTTATTGCAGACACGATGCCTTGAATTAAGGTGTCAGTTTTTTTGTGCCAGTTAAAAGGGTAAAACCTATTACTATATCTTGTTACTAGCAAAGGAGGTCTCATAATGTGAGCGACATGTCTCGGACCGCGTTTGCGAACACAAGGCAGATCTGAAACACGGCAGGACCATTTGCTGACCATTGTTTGAACGCAGTGGGCTCACACGAAATTGACTTTTCCAAGGCGAAGGTACTCTGCAAACTCACCGGCTGTTATCAGGGATTTGCCCATGCAGCCATCCAGATATACAAAACACAACCGAGAAGATGGGTACAAACTGAGCAATGATCGGAAGGACGTTATTAACCAGGTGAGGTCTTAACTGAATGCGATGTTTACATCCTACCTGCCTATGTCAGCTGTTATCTCCGACTGTCTGTGTCTCTCTCTCTCTGGTAAAGTCACGTTGAAGGGAAACAATAAAATAATAATATAAACCCGGGTTATATTGTTTTATATATATTTTATTATTTTATTGTTTCCCTTCAACGTGACTTTATCGAAAGGAGCTAAGAATATGAAGTACTGCAGTCACGAAAGCTTTAAATCGAAACCAAAGAGTAAGTTTATGTTACCAGCAGGGCCCGGATTAAGATGTTGTAGGCCCCTGAGCTACAGGTACGGTGAGACCCCCGGTAATATTTTCAAAAGCAAAGCAAAGTTAAAGAAAAATAGAACACATTTTTACAAGGCTAACAACACATACAAAACTCAGCATTGACAAATGAAGCAACTTTTCACTTTAGATTTAAAGCTTTCGTGACTGCAGGGATTCATACTCTTGGTTCTTTCGGTAAAGTCACGTAGAAGGGAAACAATAAAATAATAAAAATATAAAACAATAACATTCTCACAAACTTTTCACTTCATTTCTGGAGGCCCCCACGCCTTGATCCGGCCCTGGTCAACAGGTGTCAGTTTTTTTGTGCCAGTTAAAAGGGTAAAACCTATTACTATATCTTGTTACTAGCAAAGGAGGTCTCATAATGTGAGCGACATGTCTCGGACCGCGTTCGCGAACACAAGGCAGATCTGAAACACGGCAGGACCATTTGCTGACCATTGTTTGAACGCAGTGGGCTCACACGAAATTGACTTTTCCAAGGCGAAGGTACTCTGCAAACTCACCGGCTGTTATCAGGGATTTGCCCATGCAGCCATCCAGATATACAAAACACAACCGAGAAGATGGGTACAAACTGAGCAATGATCGGAAGGACGTTATTAACCAGGTGAGGTCTTAACTGAATGCGATGTTTACATCCTACCTGCCTATGTCAGCTGTTATCTCCGACTGTCTGTGTCTCTCTCTCTCTGGTAAAGTCACGTTGAAGGGAAACAATAAAATAATAATATAAACCCGGGTTATATTGTTTTATATATATTTTATTATTTTATTGTTTCCCTTCAACGTGACTTTATCGAAAGGAGCTAAGAATATGAAGTACTGCAGTCACGAAAGCTTTAAATCGAAACCAAAGAGTAAGTTTATGTTACCAGCAGGGCCCGGATTAAGATGTTGTAGGCCCCTGAGCTACAGGTACGGTGAGACCCCCGGTAATATTTTCAAAAGCAAAGCAAAGTTAAAGAAAAATAGAACACATTTTTACAAGGCTAACAACACATACAAAACTCAGCATTGACAAATGAAGCAACTTTTCACTTTAGATTTAAAGCTTTCGTGACTGCAGGGATTCATACTCTTGGTTCTTTCGGTAAAGTCACGTAGAAGGGAAACAATAAAATAATAAAAATATAAAACAATAACATTCTCACAAACTTTTCACTTCATTTCTGGAGGCCCCCACGCCTTGATCCGGCCCTGGTCAACAGGTGTGAGACCCCACTCAGCTGCTGTGTAGATATTTAATAAGAAGCGAGCTGGGACATCACTAATGACAGCAGCTCCACCACGTGGCTGATATCATCATCATCACCACCACGTGGACATTGATAGCAGCAGACAAACTCTCTAAACGTGTGGATATACAGACTCACAGAGAGCCATAGAGACCCATATAGCCCCATGGACACCCACAGATAACCACATAGACACCCTGAGATAACCACATAGACACCCACAGATAACCACATAGACCCTCAAAGACCCACAGAAACCCACAGAGACCCACAAAGACACCCACAGAGACCCACAGAGACCCACAAAGACCCACAGAGACCCACAGAGACCCACAAAGACCCACAGAGACCCACAGAGACCCACAAAGACCCACAGAGACCCACAGAGACCCACAGAGACCCACAAAGACCCACAGAGACCCACAGATAACCACATAGACCCACAGAGACTTATAGACACCCACAGAGACCCATAGACACCCACAGATAACCACATAGACCCACAGATAACCACAAAGACCCACAGAGACCCATAGACACCCACAGAGACCCATAGACACCCACAGATAACCACATAGACCCATAGATAACCACATAGACCCACAGAGACCCATAGACACCCACAGAGACCCATAGACACCCACAGATAACCACATAGACCCACAGAGACCCATAGACACCCACAGAGACCCATAGACACCCACAGATAACCACATAGACCCACAGAGACCCATAGAGACCCACATAGACCCACAGATAACCACAAAGACCCACAGAGACCCATAGACACCCACAGATAACCACATAGACCCACAGATAACCACATAGACACCCACAGATAACCACATAGACACCCACAGAGACCCATAGACACCCACAGATAACCACATAGACAACCACAGATAACCACATAGACACCCACAGATAACCACATAGACCCACAGAGACCCACACAGACCCACAGATAACCACATAGACCCACAGAGACCCATAGACACCCACAGAGACCCATAGACACCCACAGATAACCACATAGACCCACAGAGACCCATAGACACCCACAGATAACCACATAGACCCACAGAGACCCATAGAGACCCACATAGACCCACAGATAACCACAAAGACCCACAGAGACCCATAGACACCCACAGATAACCACATAGACCCACAGATAACCACATAGACACCCACAGATAACCACATAGACACCCACAGAGACCCATAGACACCCACAGATAACCACATAGACAACCACAGATAACCACATAGACACCCACAGATAACCACATAGACCCACAGAGACCCACACAGACCCACAGATAACCACATAGACCCACAGAGACCCATAGACACCCACAGAGACCCATAGACACCCACAGATAACCACATAGACACCCACAGAGACCCATAGACACCCACAGAGACCCATAGACACCCACAGAGACCCATAGACATCCACAGAGACGGAGCTGTGACTTGGGCTAACAACGGTGAGAATTAAACTCTGTGGGAGTGTGTAAGTGTGGGTAAGTGTGTATGTGAGTGTGTGAGTGTGTGTGTGAGTGTGTAAGTGTGTGTGTGTAGGTGTGTGAGTGTGTAAGTGTACGTGTGTGTATGAGTGTGTAAGTGTATGTACGTGTAAGTGTGTGAGTGTGTAAGTGTGTGAGTGTGTGTGTGAGTGTGTAAGTGTGTGAGTGTGTGAGTGTGCGAGTGTGCGTGTGTGAGTGTGTGAGTGTGCGAGTGTGTGTGTGTAATTGTGTAAGTGTGTGAGTGTGTGTGTCAGTGCGTAAGTGTGTGAGTGTGTAAGTGTGAGTGTGTAAGTGTGAGTGTGTAAGTGTGTAAGTGTGTGAGTGTGTAAGTGTGCGAGTGTGTAAGCGTGTGTAATTGTGTAAGTGTGTACGTGTGTGAGTGTGTAAGTGTCAGTGTGTAAGTGTGTGTGAGTGTGTGTGTGTGAGTGTGTAAGTGTGTGTACGTGTAAGTGTGTGAGTGTGTAAGTGTGCAAGTGTGTAAGTGTGTGTGTGTGTGAGTGTGCGTGTGTGAGTGTGCGAGTGTGTAAGTGTGTGTAATTGTGTAAGTGTGCGAGTGTGTAAGTGTGTGAGTGTGTAAGTGTGCGAGTGTGTGTGTGAGTGTGTAAGTGTGCGAGTGTGTAAGTGTGTATAATTGTGTAAGTGTGTACGTGTGTGAGTGTGTAAGTGTGTAAGTGTGAGTGTGTGTGTGAGTGTGTGATTGTGTAAGAGTGTGAGTGTGTGAGTGTGTAAGTGTGCGAGTGTGTGTGTGTGTAAGTGTGTGTGAGTGTGTGTGTAAGTGTGTAAGTGTAAGTGTGTACGTGTGTGAGTGTGTAAGTGTGTGTGTGTAAGTGTGTGTGTGAGTGTGTAAGTGTGTGTGAGTGTGTAAGTGTGTAAGTGTGTGTGTGAGTGTGTAAGTGTGTGAGTGTGTAAGTGTGTGTGTGAGTGTGTAAGTGTGTGTGTGAGTGTGTAAGTGAGTGAGTAAGAGTGTGTAAGTGTGTGTATGAGTGAGTGTGTAAGTGCACCCAGCCTGGCACAGTCACCGTGGTGACGTCACCCTCACTTCGTGGTGTCGGTATGGATGTTGGACTTCTTTCGCACCGTACGTAGCCAACCGTGGCTAATCGCAGTTGCGTGTGAAGGACAACAATCTCAGCACGCTTTGAGATGCCCAGAAGCGGTGTGTGTGTGTGTAGGTCGACTCAGCCTCAAATGTTCGTAAACATCGCCACTGGGGATACAAAGGCGGCCGGGCGTGGTGGTGCTGGCCACCCACCCACCCACCCCCCTCTGCGTGTGTCACAGTGCCGGTAGCCTTCACAGGTGCTCGCTACTACGAACAGCACTTGCCCCTGCAGCCCTGGGAGAGGCTACCTGGGGGGGATCTTTGTCTTTGCGGAGGTGAGCGGGTAGAGAGCTCTTTGATCTTTGAACTTTGTGTGGGCGATGGGGAAGTGACCGCGAGTTTCACTTCGCAGCTCTGCCACGGACCCCCCCGGGGTCCCGCACGAGTTCGGCTCCCGCTCCTCCTCCTCCTCGTCGTCGTGGCTCGCCGGGTGACGATGATCTGAGCCGGTCCCGGGCCCGGGCCCCTGTCCCCGAGGTCGACTCAGCCTCAAATGAGCACCGCCTGCGGTACGTCGCGAGATCATCAACGGGGGCCGGACGCGGTGCTTGGCCACTCACTTCCTCGTGTGCCACAGCGCAGGCCTTGTGGGCGCTACAGGTCAACAACAACGCTTGCACCACCACCACAACCACCACACAGCCTGTTGCTGGGAGTGAGACTGGGATCGTGAGTTTGGTATTTCACGCGGCGCGTGCCTGCAAGGTGAGTGAACGAACACGGGCAGGTGGTGAGAGGCGTGCAGTGGCGGTGCTGCGGTGCCCTTCACCCAAGGCCCTAGCCATGGAGTCAACTGTGGGGGGCCCGATCTTCCTGGGGGGGGGGGGGGGTCCCAACCCAGAAAAAATTCTACATTTTAAAACTAAGGGGTGCCTCTGCGGATGTGTATGCTTTAACTTAGCTATTTCAATGCTAAATTCTATGCTAATTCCTTTGTCAAGGGGTGCCTCTGCGGATGTGTATACTTTAACTTTTAACATAGCTATTTCTGTGACCAGTCACAAGCTAATCACTCAGCCATTTCAATACTAAATTATATGCTAATTCCTTTGTCAAGGCGCTTTGTTTCCTCTCACACAGCATAAAGGTCGTGATCTGAACGTGGCTTTTTCACTCCAGCGCTGTCCTACCAGACAGTCTCGTCCCTTCACCTGATGAAGGCCGCTTGTGTTGTGGCCGAAACGTCGTGAGAATATTACTGTGTTATTTTATTTTATCAATTTATTATTTTATTTTCATTCTACGTGACTTTACCGAAAGAACCAAAGAAGATGAATCATTGCAGTCACGAAAGCTTTAAATCGAAATTTTAAAACTAATTTCCTGCCTAAAATATAAAAAAAAAGAATTCACGAACGCGTGGGATGGACTTTTATTTATTTCTTTACAATAATGTCTAATCGTGTATATTGTATCACATTGCTGTGTTTTTACTTGTTTTTAAACATTTCTTGATTCATTGTATGTAATGGCAGATATTAGGGATTAATAAAGTACAACCACAATCATATAAACAGAAATCTATGCGTTGATTTATATGAAGACAAGTCCAGATATTGTGGCCAAGGTTTAGCAAATTGTTTTTATTTACATAGCATAGCAATTATTTATTTTATAGCAATATATTGGGGGAGGACATTTTGAGCATATTTGAATATTGGGGGGAGATGTGTCCCCCAATATTTAATTACGGCCTTGGTGTCACCAGTTGAGGCACCGGTTGGACTGCGCTCTGTGGTTACCGGTTTTATTGGGAGATTTCATCCCAAATTTCATTAACTCGCTCCGAGATTCAGATCCCATTGAGATTCATTGTCCCTTGCGATTGACGTCCTTTAATTAACTACCAGCTGAGAGAGCTCCCATTGAGATTCATTGTCCCTTGTTGATTGAGGTCCTTTATTTAACTACTGAGAGAGCTCCCGTTGAGATTCATTGTCCCATGTGATTGAGGTCCTTTATTTAACTACTGAGAGAGCTCCCGTTGAGATTCGCTGTCCCATGTGATTGAGGTCTTTTATTTAACTACCAGCTGAGAGAGCTCACATTGAGATTCACTGTCCCTTGTGATTGACGTCCATTATTAACTACCAGCTGAGAGAGCTCACATTGAGATTCACTGTCCCATGTGATTGAGGTCCTTTATTTAAGTACCAGCTGAGAGGGCTCACATTGAGATTCATTGTCCCTTGTGATTGAGGTCCTTTATTTAACTACCAGCTGAGAGAGCTCACATTGAGATTCATTGTCCCTTGTTGATTGAGGTCCTTTATTTAACTACCAGCTGAGAGGGCTCACATTGAGATTCATTGTCCCTTGTGATTGAGGTCCTTTATTTAACTACCAGCTGAGAGAGCTCACATTGAGATTCATTGTCCCTTGTGATTGAGGTCCTTTATTTAACTACCAGCTGAGAGATCTCCCGTTGAGATTCACTGTCCCTTGTGATTGAGGTCCTTTATTTAACTACCAGCTGAGAGGGCTCACATTGAGATTCACTGTCCCTTGTGATTGAGGTCCTTTATTTAACTACCAGCTGAGAGATCTCCCATTGAGATTCACTGTCCCTTGTGATTGAGGTCCTTTATTTAACTACCAGCTGAGAGAGCTCCCATTGAGATTCGCTGTCTCGTGTTGATGAGTCTTGCCCAGTGACGTGCGGTGACGTCAATGGCTGGGGAGGCACTGGCTCGTGTCAGAGACAGATTCACACACTCATTGAGGGGGCCGTGTTAGACATGTCCCCCTCAGTGAGGCAGATGTGATAGCTGCCTCACTGAGGGGGGCGTGGCCTCACCGAGGGGGCGTGGCCTCACCGAGGGGCGTGTCCTCACTGATGGGGGCGTGTTAGACACGTCCCCCTCGGTGAGGCAGATGTGATAGCTGCCTCCCCTGGTGCTTTTTCATTGCGGTTTCATGACGAGAACGGCGAGCCTAAATATATTTAAACACAAACGTGAAATAAGTTACCTGGAGTATGGAAGGCGAGGACATGAAATGAAGGGGTCTACAAACATTACAGTGGTGACACGCTGAGATAGTAACAGGCACGCGCTTATTGCCCGCGCTCCATCCAGTTACTGAGGGGTTGCGCAATCAGAGGGGAGGCTGAGCTCGTCACTGCCTCACCTCTCGTCTCTTTCTGTATTTGCAGCGGAGCGCCGCAAATTTGGCGACTTTGACGATGAAAATGATTGGAGTCGTACAGGAATGGCATTTATAACACAGATCAGTGGAAAAGTATTAATATTTATTTTATTTGATTTTTTTACTTTTCGTAACAGCTGTTTCTATTGGAGTTTGGCAGGTGAGGCTCTGCCTCCCCTTGCCTCCCCTCACCGCACGGCCCTGGTCTTGCCGCACGGTGAGGTGGGGAGATTTGTGACCCTTCCAAACGAAGGCATTCATTTGTAAATCGCTGGTAACTTAACAATAGGGGTTTTTCCTCCTTTTTTCTGGCAACTAAACTGGAACCTTTTGCTGCCAGAAAAAAGGCGGAAGAACCCCCTATTATTATATTTTGGTACTGGCAAAGGAGGTCTAATGACGTTGGTAACTTGTTCATTTTACAGAATTCCTGTCCTCCGTTCGTGAAGGAATCGCCCCGACTCCTCCACTCGGAACAACAAAAGCAACAACAATATTAACAATATTCGTACTATTATTAATTGGTAAGTAGCACCACCGCCACCACCACCACCACCACCACGTGTAGGCTGTTGTACTCTTTGGTTCTCTCGGTAAAGTCACAGAGGTAGAAATCCTGCCCAACCCGTCCAGTGGTACGGTGCGAACGAAATTCAACATGCATGCATGAGCACTGGTGGCTACGTACGGTGTGAAAGAAATTCAACACATACATTAGCACAGGTGGCTACGTACGGTGTGAAAGAATTTCGATTTAAAGCTTTCGTGACTGCAATGATTCATCTTCTTTGGTTCTTTCGGTAAAGTCACCACGTAGAATGAGAATAAAATAATAAATTGATAAAATAAAATAACACAATAATATTTTATTTTATCAATTTATTATTTGAGTCTCATTCTACGTGACTTTACCGAAAGAACCAAAGAAGGTTTGAAAGAAGTTCAACACATACATGAGCACAGGTGGCTACGTACGATGTGAAAGAAATTCAACATGCGTACATAGATACAGCAACGAGCAGGGCAGTACAAGGCCGGCTATGATGCTTGCCTTCATCAACTCACATTGACCAGAATGGTGAAGTATGTCACTTGGCCATCAGGAGCCGACATGTCGTGATGAGGCGCTCATCCAGCAGTGGATTGATGAGAGGGGCGTAGGGGCACAACGGAGGCTCAGTAATGCCTCCCTGTGCTGAATCAAACACACGCACGCATTGTGCGCTATAACGACAGTCGGTGATACGATCTCTCTCCGCTTTGCACGCATTCGTGAAAGCATCTTCCACAGAAGCATCTCGACGTGATCTAAACACGAAACTAAACTATTGTTATTCCACCAGGTAAGGCCCGCTGAGCTATGTAGACCTGGCCACAAGTGACAGCTCAAGAAAGTGGCTGATCGTCATCATCATCATCATGTGGAAATGTAAAGCAGCCAAATACTCTAAAGGCGTGATGTTGATTCGAAATGCGGAGGTAAAAACCGGAGGATCCAGAGTAAAATCCACGAGACCACGGGGAAAACACGCAAACTCCAAATATACAACAGGAGTCAGGGTTGGGATCGAACCCACGACCTCCTGTATACCAGGCGAGGTAGTTAACATCTTCTAGCCACCGTGGTGTTAGGGCTTTGACCGAACCCACGACCTCCTGTATACCAGGCGAGGTAGTTAACATCTCCTCGCCACCGTAGCACCCCTAATGCGACTGTCATCAGTGTAACGTTCTGACCCCGTGGCCCTACTGGATCATCTGTGAAACAGAGCTTCATAGCCTATCGGATTCCTCCATTATAAGTAAAATAAATTCTGATTCTGAGATTCTGATTTATCCGCAGGAACGGTGTTCGCTGACGGCGCGGGGGTTGGGAATGGCTCGGAGTCCGGAGTACAGCGCCAAGGAAGAACACCACGTGGTGAGTTCAATAGCAGCTCGTGGTCAACTCGAATTCATCACCACCACCATCGCCATCATGACCATAACCACCATCATCACCATCATCGTCACCACCACCAACAACATCATTACCACCACCATCTTCATCATTGCACCACCATTATCATCACCACCATCACCACCATCATCGTCATCACCATCATAATCATCATCATCATCACCACCACCACCATCATCACCACCATCATCATGACCATCATTATCATCGTCACCACCACCACCAACATCATCACCACCACCATCTTCATCATTGCACCACCATTATCATCACCACAACCACCATCATCATCACCACCATCATAATCACCACCATCATCATTATCACAACCACCATCAACACCATCATCACCACCATCATAATCACCACCATCATTATCACAACCACCATCATCACCATCATCACCACCATCATAATCACCACCATCATTATCACAACCACCATCATCACCATCATTACCACTACGACCATCATCACCACTACCATCATGACCATCATCACCACCATCGTCATCATCACCACTTTTATGACCACAATCATCATTACCACGGTCATCATCACCACCATCATCACTACCACTACTATCAGCATCATCACCACAATCATCATTACCACCATCATCATCGTCACCACCACCAAAACCACCGTCATCTTACTCTTTGGTTCTTTCGGTAAAGTCACGACATTTCGATCGCAACACAAGCGATCGTCCTCAGGCGAAAACAACATCCAGCAGTAGAACTGCTGAACCAGGAAGAACACAGCGAGAGAGCTGCCACAACAAGGGGGTTATTTATGTCTGAGGGGGGTGTAGCCCGAGGGCAAGCAAGCGGGGTCCGAGCTGGAATGGATTCCCATCCCCGCACGCAAGCACATCAGCTGTGTTAATGGGGGAGATTAGGGAGAGAGAGATTAGCGTGTCAAAGTAAATGAGCTTCCGTCGCTGCGTAAGAGCACCGTCACCGCACATGCGCACGGCGGCAGTGTTAATGGGAGATTAGCACCATGTTAATTGGAGAGATTGTGGAGATTAGCAAGTTAATGTCATGTCTATGTGTAACACAAGCTGTGGCCAGGCCTGCGCTGTGAGAGGCAAGCGCGTCAACGCAAGAGAACCACCGCAACGGTGGCCGTGCCAGTGAGACACATAGCCCATCACACAGCCAGAACCATCGATACATCGAGGCTAAGGGAGCAGAGGTGGCCATGTTAGTGAGACCCCAGCCCGTTAATGCAAAGGCATCCAACACGGCAATGCAACTCAGAGAGCCGGAGATACAGTGAGGGAAAAAAAGTATTTGATCCTCTGCTGATTTTGTACGTTTGCCCACTGACAAAGAAATGATCAGTCTATAATTTTAATGGTAGGTTTATTTTAACATTGAGAGACAGAATAACAACAACAAAAAATCCAGAAAAACGCATGTCAAAAATGTTATAAATTGATTTGCATTTTAATGAGGGAAATAAGTATTTGACCCCTCTGCAAAACATGACTTAGTACTTGGTGGCAAAACCCTTGTTGGCAATCACAGAGGTCAGACGTTTCTTGTAGTTGGCCATCAGGTTTGCACACATCTCAGGAGGGATTTTGTCCCACTCCTCTTTGCAGATCTTCTCCAAGTCATTAAGGTTTCGAGGCTGACGTTTGGCAACTCGAACCTTCAGCTCCCTCCACAGATTTTCTATGGGATTAAGGTCTGGATACTGGCTAGGCCACTCCAGGACCTTAATGTGCTTCTTCTTGAGCCACTCCTTTGTTGCCTTTGCCGTGTGTTTTGGGTCATTGTCATGCTGGAATACCCATCCACGACCCATTTTCAATGCCCTGGCTGAGGGAAGGAGGTTCTCACCAAAGTGTTGACTGTACATGGCCCCGTCCATCGTCCCTTTGATGCGGTGAAGTTTTCCTGTCCCCTTAGCAGAAAAACACCCCCAAATCATATTGTTTCCACCTCCATGTTTGATGGTGGGGATGGTGTTCTTGGGATCATAGGCAGCATTCCTCCTCCTCCAAACACAGCGAGTTGAGTTGATGTCAAAGAGCTCCATTTTGGCCTCATCTGACCACAACACTTTCACCCAGTTGTCCTCTGAATCATTCAGATGTTCATTGGCAAACTTCAGACGGGCATGTATATCTGCTTTCTTGAGCAGGGGGACCTTGCGGGCGCTGCAAGATTTCAGTCCTTCACAGCGTAGTGTGTTACCAATTGTTTTCTTGGTGACTATGGTCCCAGCTGCCTTGAGATCATTGACAAGATCCTCCCGTGTAGTTCTGGGCTGATTCCTCACCGTTCTCATGATCATTGCAACTCTACGAGGTGAGATCTTGCATCGAGCCCCAGGCCGAGGGAGATTGACAGTTCTTTTGTGTTTCTTCCCTTTGCGAATAATCGCACCAACTGTTGTCACCTTCTCACCAAGCTGCTTGGCAATGGTCTTGTAAGTCCATTCCCGCCTTGTGTAGGTCTACAATCTTGTCCCTGACATCCTTGGAGAGCTCTTTGGTCTTGGCCATGGTGGCGAGTTTGGAATCTGATTGATTGATTGCTTCTGTGGACAGGTGTCTTTTATACAGGTAACAAGCTGAGATTAGGAGCACTCTCACTTTTCAAATAAACCTTCCATTAAAATTATAGACTGATCATTTCTTTGTCAGTGGGCAAACGTACAAAATCAGAAGGGGATCAAATACTAGATTTGAAGCTTTCATGACGGCAAGGATCCATACTCTTTGGTTCTATTCGGTAAAGTCACGTAGGTAAAAAATAAAACAACAAAAATCACGACGTTTCGGCTACAATACAAGTGGCCTTCATCAGGTGAAGGGACCAGACTGTCTCGAGGATAGCCCTGGAGTGAACACAGCCAAGCTCTGACCGCGACCTTTAAGCTGTGTGAGAGGAATTAAGGTGCCTTGACAAAGGAATTAGCATAAAAAATAGCATTTAATTGACGGACTTAGCATGATGAACGGTGTAGAGGGGGTGAACATGTGCAGGTCGGCGAGGGGGGGAGGGGGAGTTTACATATTGATGGTGTGAAAAGGGAATTTTAAGAGCTACGAAAGTTTGGGGTACCACTACTTGAAAAAAATATACTGTACCATTGAAAATGAGTTTAGTGTTTGGTTCGATTTAGAACATCTTTCCAATGGTTGCTTAATTTGAAACCATCTTCTCGGTTGAAATTGTGTCTGTTTGTAAATCTGAATTGCCTCGTGAACAAATCTCTGATAAAAACCCGTGGGTTTGCAAAGAACCTTGGTATCGGAGAAAATTATATTGTGATCACCCACAGCGTTGTAACAGTGATCAGCTACGGCAGAAGAATTTGTTCTGCCGTGTTTCAAATCTGATTTGTGCTCGCGAATTCGGTCAGAGACATGTCGCTTCGTCTCCCGGATGTAGCAATCACCACAGGTACACAAGATCCAGGTCCGGTTCAATACAGTACACAAAATTCGTGATCTGATCCCATCCGTGAAGGATGTCATTCCTGACTTACAGTACCCCGGGGTTTACAAATTGAGTTGTACCTGCGGTGATTGCTATATCGGGGAGACGAAGCGACATGTCTCTGACGTTACAACGCTGTGGGTGATCACGATATCATTTTCTCCAATACCAAGGTTCTTTGCAAACCCACGGGTTTTTATCAGAGATTTGTTCACGAGGCAATTCAGATTTACAAACACAGACACAATTTCAACCGAGAAGATGGTTTCAAATTAAGCAACCATTGGAAAGATGTTTTAAATCGAACCAAACATTAAACTAATTTTCAATGGTACAGTATATTTTTCAAGTAGTGGTACCCCAAACTTTCGCAGCTCTTAAAATTCCCTTTTCACACCATCAATATGTAAACTCCCCCTCCCCCCCTCGCTGACCTGCACATGTTCACCCCCTCTACACCGTTCATCATGCTAAGTCCACCAATTAAATGCTAATTTTTATGCTAATCCCTTTGTCAAGGCACCTTAATTCCTCTCACACAGCTTAAAGGTCGCGGTCTGAGCTTGGCTGTGTTCACTACAGCGCTGTCCTCGAGACAGTCTGGTCCCTTCACCTGATGAAGGCCACTTGTGTTGTGGCCGAAACGTCGTGATTTTTGTTGTTTTATTTTTTACCTACGTGACTTTACCGAATAGAACCAAAGAGTAGGGGATCAAATACTTTTTTCCCTCACTGTAACAGCCAAACGGCAGGAAGGATGGAAGCATCACAGCTCAGCTTATACCCATCTTCTGGGTTGAAATTGTCTCTGTGTTTATATATCTGGATGGCTTCATGGACAAATCTTTGATGGTAGCCCGAAGGTTTGCAGAGTACCTTGGTCTCGGAAAAAACAATATCATGCGAGCCCATCGTGTTATAACAGTGATCAGCCACGGCAGAGGTATTGGTTGTGCCGTGTTTCACTAACATGGCCACCTCTGCTCCCTTAGCCTCGATGTATCGATGGTTCTGGCTGTGTGATGGGCTGTGTGTGTCACTGGCACGGCCACCGTTGCGGTGGTTCTCTTGCGTTGACGCGCTTGCCTCTCACAGCGCAGGCCTGGCCACAGCTTGTGTTACACATAGACATGACATTAACTTGTTAATCCCCTAATCTCTCTCCCTAATCTCTCCCATTAACATGGTGCTAATCTCCCATTTACACTGCTGCCGTGCGCATGTGCGGCGACGGTGCTCTTACGCAGCGACGGAAGCTCATTTACTTTGACACGCTAATCTCTCTCTCCCTAATCTCCCCCATTAACACAGCTGATGTGCTTGCGTGCGGGGATGGGAATCCATTCCAGCTCGGACCCCGCTTGCTTGCCCTCGGGCTACACCCCCCTCAGACATAAATAACCCCCTTGTTGTGGCAGCCCTCTCGCTGTGTTCTTCCTGGTTCAGCACTTCTACTGCTGGATGTTGTTTTCACCTGAGGACGATCGCTTGTGTTGCGATTGAAACGTCGTGATATATTTTGATTTAAAGCTTTCGTAATTGCAGTAATTCATATTCTTAGCTCTTTCGGTAATGTCACGTTGAAGGGAAACAATAAAATAATAAAAGATTGTTTTATATATATTTTATTATTTTATTGTTTCCCTTCAACGTGACTTCACCGAAAGAGCTAAGAATATGTCGTGATATATTATTTAATTTGATTTTTCTAGCTATGTGACTTTACCGAAAGAACCAAAAAGTATGGATTCCTGCAGTCACGAAAGCTTCAAATCAACACCATCATCACCATCACCATCATCACCTTCATCATCATCACTAGTACATCGTTTATTGTTAAATTTTCATCACAGTTCCTATGATCACTGTTACATTGTTTTTATAGCTTTATTTTGGTGATATTCGAAACCATATGGTTAAGCCAGGTTTGTTTGTTGAAGTACAGAGTTAGCCTGATAACTTCTTCTAAATTTCGATTTAAAGCTTTCGTGACTTCAGGGACTTCTTGGTCCTTTCGGTAAAGTCACGTAGAATGGAAATAAAATAATAAAAATAAAACATAATAGAATAAAATTCTCACGACATTTCGGCCACAACATAAGTAGCCTTCTTCAGGTGAAGGAACAGAACTGTCGGGACGACAGCTCTTCATTGAAGCGCTGTCAATGAATGACAGTGCTTCATTTAAGCGCTATCGTTCACAAGTAGCCTTCTTCAGGTGAAGGAACAGAACTGTGTTGTGGCCGAAACGTCGTTAGAATTTTATTTTACTATGTTTTATTTTTATTATTTTATTTACATTCTACGTGACTTTACCGAAAGAGCCAAGAAGTTGATCTAAATTGTCTCATGGTTGTTATTGTGTCGACTTGTGTCCCATTGGGATTTTTGCACACAGAGTTGATATACAGTGCTTTTTTCTGGAAGATTTTCCTGGATGTTTCTGTCGCGCATCATCACTCTAAGATGTTCTTTGTTTATGTTTTTGTTTGTTGCAGTTGCACCCGAGTCAAGAGCCTCATGGCTCACAGGGCTATACCTAATAAATGAAACTGAAAAACTGAAAAAAAACCGATTTTCTGGGCAGTGACAAAAGATATGGACCTCCTGAGAAAGCTAATTTAGTGATCTAACAAAAGTAATGCTCAACTAACAACCGTAGTAGCATTAAATAACCGTTTCATTTTTCGTAAAAGCAATCCATTACTTAACTACCAAGAGGTGACATCTAACAATCTCTCTCATTAACCTGACGTCGCTATTGTAACTAACTGTAACTCCTTGGTTCTTTCGGTAAAGTCACGTAGAAATAGAAAATAACAAATTACATAATATCATACGACGTTTCGATTGCAAAGCAAGCAATCATCATCAGGTACAAATGAAAGAGAAACAAACCTAGTAAACCTAGTAAACTATTTCTACGTGACTTTACCGAAAGAACCAAAGAATAATTCCTGCAGTCACGAAGGCGTCAAATCAAGTTTAACTACAACTCGTTTCGCCTGACAATGAATGCCAGATTCACGAGTGCATTGCTCTCCAAGGCGGTCACCACAGTGAGTGCACAAAATCCCCTCCACATCAACGTTGGTGCAGCGCCTCGATTCTCGCTCCGAGAATGACGAAAAAATCGTTCCGACTGCCATGCAACATGAACTCTCTGTAGCAGCATAGATGAGAACGTACCGCCCTCTACTGCCTGAGTCGTGACGTAGCCAACACGGTGGCGTGTAGCCTAGCACAGTAATGTCGTCAAGGCTCGAATATTGCAACTCACTACTCTACGGGATGTCTGGAAAAAAAACATTTGCAAACTGCAGCGTGGACAAAACTGTCTGGCACGCGTCGTGACGGGTACTGCAAGATGGGGCCGTGTCTGTCGAGTGCTCACCGAGCTGCATTGCCGAACTCGTTCATTCTAAAGGTCGCACTTGTGGGGGCTACCGTCCCCCGCCATCACTGAATTGTCGGGGCCGTTGCCCACCGACTCCCCCGTTCCATTCATACCGCTACCTCCCCGGCTGCTCTGTCGGGTCCAGACCACCGACCCCTAATGCCTCGCCCCCCTCTACCTCTGCCTGGGATGTCGACCGCGTTTGCGTAGCTTAATTAGCGGCTCGTGCGCTCTGCGCTCGCGATGCGCTACCCTGTTCAACGGCGGCGTGTCGCGGTGAGCGCGCTCGCAAAGTAAAACCCCGTCCTGCATGGGAACAAACAGGCGCGGCGCGCCCCCGTGGGATTCCCTCCCACCCACGCTCCATGCGCTTAAGCAAAAACAAACGCGCCGCGATTACTTTGCTCCGATTTAACGGGCTGTTTACACAGCCGCGTATTCGCGCACGCCAGGCGCTTAATTCGCTATTAGACAATAGCGCGAGTGCGCGACCACCACCCCGTCACACAGGCGCGCGAGTGCAAAGCGCTACTGTAGGCTATTGCTACTCTAGGCTATTGCTACTGTAGGCTATTGCTACTGTAGGCTATTGCTACTCTAGGCTATTGCTACTGTGGGCTATTGCGCAGGTACGTGAGCGCTGGGCACCACCGAAGATATTCGTGTAGGTACGCGCGCGCTGAACAATACTGTAAACGATCGTACAGGTACGGACACTAAGCGCGTTCTACTCCCTTATTCGCTGCTAACAGCCGCGTATGCGCGCGAACACAAAACACTCTGTACACACTCGTACCGATATGCGAACACCAAACACTCCGTCTCCCTCCTCGCACTCACAGTGACCACGACACAGCTTTATCCTATTAGTGGTTTTATTCCCCGCGAGTATCGAACTAGACTGTGTGTGTCAGTACGGACCAGCAGGACAGGTCTAACCTATCTCGCTACTGCCTGATACTTAATGGACCTGTCTGCCCTCTATTTTCTCTCCGAATTTCGTCCCTTTGTCTTACCTCTCTCCCTCGTACTTACGGTCCGACCTCGCAGCGATGGAGGTCGCGGATAGATGATGCTGTAAACAGAATCTGGCTGTTCTCTGCCCCGTCTCACGGACGTGCGAGTAACAGTCAGGTGACGGCTCCCCGATCCCTCCCTCCTGTTGATCTCCAGTCAAATAATAAATGGCCCCATGCTTCCCCAAAGCGTCCATTTTTATCCTCCTTTCAAAGCCCTCGCACCGCCCATCCGCGGTGCATCACGGGTCAGGCCATTAATCCGCGGTGCATCATGGGTAGGGCCGTTAATCCGCGGTGCATCATGGGTAGGGCCGTTAATCCGCGGTGCATCATGGGTAGAGACGCTAGCCCGCGGTGCACCATGGGTAGAGACGCTTAACCCACGCTGCCCCGCTCCCCACCTGTCTGCTGGTCCGTGTGTGTCTTGAGCATCTCCTCACTGCGGTTCTCAGTGAGTTCGCCGTGGTCATTTAATTCTAAGTTAAGCCACGGCGCCGCAGTGCCATTTGGCCTGGGGGCTGGTGGGTGCCTGCCAATTCCCTGACCCTGAGAAACCGTGGAGCACCCCCACGAGGGGGCCTCTCGGGTAAAAACTCAGGGCAGGTGCCCCCCTCCCCTCCCCATGAGGCCCTACTTGAGTGTGTGTGTGTTTAGGTGGGGGGGGGGGGGGTGGCGGGGGAAGTGCTGTGACGGGAGCCGGGTGGCTTCTCGGTCGCAGCAGCACAGCGACGGGCCCAGTTTCGACGGAGCGGCTTCGCTGTTGTGGCACCACGCACTCATTACACGCAAAGTTCTTGCTACAAATGAACCGCAGTACCACCTTGCTGAGATCGTCAAGGAGCTTGAACCATCGTCACGTGATCTCTGGTTATCATCATCACAGCGGCTTTTGGCTCGCCATCGGTCACTGCGCCACGCGCTCTCAGATGCGCTTCAGCGACCGTCTGGAACGCTCTGCCTTCCGGTGTTAGGAAGCTGCTGAGCTGTGCACTTTTACATCATCTGAATTGACAAACTAATTTCTTTATAACTGCTTTCTTGTGTTTAGTTTGTTGTCGTTTCTTCGCACCTCCGATTAGCACGGTTGATCTACGTATGGTGCGAAAGAAGTTCAACACACACACACACATGGACCAGAGGTCACTCTGTGGGATGTCAGAGGTAGTTGTGTGATATCTACTTCTGTGGTCCATACTCTTAACATGAAAGGTTGCGCTGCACTTTGAAGGATCCAATGGATTCTGCATCTCATGACATGTTGCCACTATAAGGGTCACAAATATCTGGGTTCAATGCCTGGCTATAAATCTCATCAACACCGATGTCCAATTGCCATCAGAACGTGATACAGCTGCTCACCCCGAGCTACAAACGCTCTGATAGTGCATTGTCTTTGTACTGTTCACATTTAGGTGTTCTCTGGTCTGACACTGGTGAGACTAGGCCATAGAGAAGCCTGTCCTATGGAGTAGAACAATCAGTTTCAAAGACAATACCATGTAACATCATAGTTACATTATTATTAAAGACAATTGATATATTATCAGAGCCACATCTGTTTGCATGTTCACCACAAGTACTGTGCGTGGTCAATGCGATACTTAATGTCATTAAAAAGGTTTCTATTCGGCGTTTGAACATCTTAACACACCTCCTGTTCTATTGCCAGAAAGGGTAAAACCTATTCTCATTTTCTATACGAGATGTACTCAAGTGGGCGCTGTGTTGTTGTTGTTTCCTTAGAATTTATGGTCGTCACCCCAGGGAAAATGAACGCCGTAGCAGGCAGCAAGATTTTCCTGCCCTGCTCCTACACCTGTACAATCAGCGGCATTACCCACACGCTGGTGGAGTGGTTCAGAAGGGATGGACATGAAGAAGAGAGGGTGAGTTACAAATCTCTCTATCATATTAAGACATCTAAATGTGGGAAACCTTGCCTAACGCGGCTTTTTTCGAAAGCGTCGGTTTGTCGGAACACGGGGGGTGATCCATAATCGAGGTTGTTTTGGATTAGTTCGCTTAAATATATAAATGTGTCGTCAAACCCGCCACCACCCGACACAGACAATAGTAAGGTTTGTCACCTAAACAGAACGTGCCAGTTCGTTACGAGTACAGCACACCGGTGTGTTGCAGAGCATAGCCACAACATTTACAATCTGAGTACGATGTTTCGCCAGTAATTACAACTTGCTTCATCAGGCGACAGCCAGATTTGTAGATGTGATGGCATCACTTGTGAGCACTTATTGAGTGATGGGGGGGGGATTAATGAACGCATATAAATGAGAATGGGTTATTTATATGGTAGTCAACGTAATCTCTGCATCTTTTGAGGAACGGCAGTGAAGACAACAGCTTCATCCGCTTAATTCGGAGTATCTCCAATTTTCTAGTTTGAAGAAAAGTATCCTCCCCATAGAGGTTAGTCAGTTTAACACGCAGGCTTTCGTGACCAACATCATCGTGAGTGCCGTGGTGATGGGATTAGTAATGGAGACCGGGGTTTTGTGTTGAGGCGATATTGCAAACCAAAGAGTGTACACACACAACAAGAAGAAGAAGAAGACAACCTGATGATGCAGGCATTGATGAGAAGGAAACGGGCGCTATTTGGACACATCTGCAGGATGGAAAACAACAGGAAATTCTAAGTCACGTCATTCAGAAACATGGAAGGAACCGGAAAGAGAGGAAGACCTGACGGAGAATGGCTTGATGAGGACATACGAATAGATTGGTGCCAGAAAGACGTGGCCACTATTTAAGCAGATTGGCACGACAAGACAGAGGGAGGTGGAACTGAATGATAAAATGTGCAGTGGACACCTTACGGGCCATCGGCCCATAGATCGCGATGATGATGATGATGGCACACAAGACATGACGAGCGACTCAGCACCTGTTAGTACAATAATAAGGGCAGAAATTGTGCAGAATTAGTTATAGTAAAGAGGGAGGGGGTGATCATTTAGCACCCAGGAAGGCAACCCGAGCTGTCTCACGAGGTTTGTTACTTTTAAAACTCAATTTTGCCGAACCCGGCATTTCTCAGAAATGTTTGGCGAGGTCTGCGTGCACTGAGCTAAGGGGTGCGGTGCCCCAGTGTAATATTAGTGAACACCTATTTAATTCTCAGAAAGGGTAAAACCTATTCTTATTTTGCATACTTTTGTAGGGGACTAATTTAGAGAAACGTTAAAGATTCAAGAAATAAAACGGGTTGTGATAATTTAGAGCAGGTGGCTGGATGCCTAAACATGCATAGAGTAAATCACTGTCTAATTAAGGGCAGGGAGAGAGGAGAGATGAAAGGGGGGCGTCACGAACAGTCGGGGCGCTTGCCTGGGGTGAAGACGAGTTGGTGACTCCACAGGGGCAGTATTCGTAGGAGAGATGTGAACCTCCCAAACGCACAGGAAAACAAAGATCTACCTTCATCTTCAAGAGCGTCCTGTTGGAGCTTCTTTACACTTTGATAATGGCAAAAAGGTCCCGTAGATATATCTGCTCAAACCCGAGCTATTAATCTGTAGTGTCAAAGACTCAAAGACAGAGTTTATAGGAGGCACCTTCTTTATTAACAACTTCCACGGTCTCGTCCACACACTTTCCACAATAGCTCAGCCTAGCCTGTACACAACACTAGCTGTCTATCACTGATGGTGCCAACCGAGATAGCCAACTACTATCCTTTGTAGCGGAGAAGTTAGCTACGATGGTGACGAGATGACAGCAATGATGAGACGAGTCCACTCACAGAACCGGCAGCCCTGAGCTCCCTGCTCTCGGCTCCTTTTATCCTCCCAGCGTGGCCTGGCTCCGCCCTGACCACGCCTCCCTTCTCGAACCCTGCTAGCAGGTTCCTGACCCTTGCCCCAGTTCCTCCGCTCTGCCAACACACTGTGCACGCCCTCACCGGCGTGTCTACTGTCTGTCCACCACAGTTGCCGCTGCTGTCCACCAGCCGGCGCTATTGCACTACACGTGCCCTGATACTTGCATCGTCTTTGTACTCTTCACCTTTTGGCGTTGTTCTCTGTCTAAAACCGGTGGTGATACAAGGCCATGCAGACGGCTGTCTCTGGTGTAGGCCAATCAGTGTCAAAGACTGCAAGTGTTTATCAGAGCACTAGCAGGAAGTACCCGGATTTGGCCAAGGGGGAAAATATATTTCAAAACGTGTCTTCTATTTAAAAATATAACATACACACACACAAATATTAAGCAATCATAAAAGTCCGGCATTCTGTTTGTCTGTCCATTTGTCCGTCAACAAAACTTTAACAAACTTTCAGAAGTCCTGAATCTAAAAGTTACAGAAAGTGGGGGTAAAGAGTTGCTCTAAATGGTTTCCAAAAATTGTCGACCGTCCCCAATTTAGTTTTACCCCTCCCCACACCCAATTTATTTATTTATTTTGTAGGCATATATACCTAGACACCCTACATACCATATTATCAGTAGTATCTAGTGACTCTACAGTAGTATCAAGTGATTCTATAGTAGCATCTACTGACTTTATAGTGGCATTTACTGATTCTACAGTAGTATCTACTTACTCTATAGTAGTAATTGCACACATTGGGGTGGGCGGGGGAGAAGAGGACATCACGCTGTTCAGGATTGTCCTCAGCCTGCGTTGCAGCAGTAACTGTGCTGTCTCTGGCTTGTCTTGATGCACGCTGCTCTGTAGTTTCCTCAGCCTGTGCTGCAGCAGTGACTGTGCAGACTCTGGCTTGTCTTGATGCTCGCTGCTCTGTAGTTTCCTCTGTCGTGCCGCTGAGGTGCCTTCGTTGTTTGTTTGATGTTGGGACAGCCGCTGCTTCTCCACTGTTTGTTTTGCGCACCGCAGTGCCACTCGCTTTGTGTTTGTCTTGGAGCAGCTTGAGTTTTTTTCTTTTTGAAAATTTTAACGTGAAGAACCTCCCTCCCGTCGTCGCTCAGCAAGCTTGGTTGCGTTGCTAGGGACACCCGCAAGTCACGTTCCGCACATGCGCAGATGCGTTCTTTGGAATGCCCTCAAAGTTATCATTACGATCAGCGTACTTTGTTATAGAGTGTGATTTTCTTAGTTTCGATTGGACCAAGGGCAAAAACATATACCAAGTGTTCATTCGTTGGCTTAGTTTGTTGTATTTTTGTACTTTGTTAAAACATGAAAAAATCATTTGTCAGTTAAAAGCGTTACAAAGATAGGCGTACACAGACAGACAAAAAATACTTTTAAAGGTAAGATTTTTGTTTGCATGTTTTGCCACAAAGATGTGTGGATAATGCAGACTTGATTCTTTGTAAAAGGTATCTATTTGGTGTCTGAACATCTTAATACCTCCTGTTTTATTGCCAGAAAGGGTAAAACATCTTATTTTTCATACTTTGATCCTGGCAAAAAGGTCCCATAGATTTAACCCATTCTTTCAATTAGTAATTTTTTTTCCATATTCATGGTACAGAATGGTACAGTGAGGGAAAAAAAGTATTTGATCCCCTGCTGATGTTGTACGTTTGCCCACTGACAAAGAAATGATCAGTCTATAATTTTAATGGTAGGTTTATTTGTGAGAGACAGAATGACAACAAAAAAATCCAGAAAAACGCATGTCAAAAATGTTATAAATTGATTTGCAAAAGATGACTTAGTACTTGGTGGCAAAACCCTTGTTGGCAATCACAGAGGTCAGACGTTTCTTGTAGTGTGCCACCAGGTTTGCACACATCTCAGGAGGGATTTTGTCCCACTCCTCTTTGCAGATCTTCTCCAAGTCATTAAGGTTTCGAGGCTGATCTTTGGCAACTCGAACCTTCAGCTCCCTCCACATATTTTCTATGGGATTAAGGTCTGGATACTGGCTAGGCCACTCCAGGACCTTAATGTGCTTCTTCTTGAGCCACTCCTTTGTTGCCTTGGCCATGTGTTGTGGGTCATTGTCATGCTGGAATACCCATCCACGACCCATTTTCAATGCCCTGGCTGAGGGAAGGAGGTTCTCACCCAAGATTTGACGGTACATGGCCCCGTCCATCGTCCCTTTGATGCGGTGAAGTTGACCTGCCCCCTTAGCACAGAAACACCCCCAAAGCATAATGTTTCCATCTCCATGTTTGACGGTGGGGATGGTGTTCTTGGGGTCATAGGCAGCATTCCTCCTCCTCCAAACACGACGAGTTGAGTTGATGCCAAAGAGTTCCATTTTGGTCTCATCTGACCACAACACTTTCACCCAGTTGTCCTCTGAATTATTCAGATGTTCATTGGCAAACTTCAGACGGGCATGTATATGTGCTTTCTTGAGCAGAGGGACCTTGCGGGCGCTGCAGGATTTCAGTCCTTCACGGCGTATTGTGTTACCAATTGTTTTCTTGGTGACTATGGTCCCAGCTGCCTTGAGATCATTGACAAGATCCTCCCGTGTATTTCTGCGCTGATTCCTCCCCGTTCTCATGATCATTGCAACTCCACGAGGTGAGATCTTGCATGGAGCTTCAGGCCGAGGGAGATTTACAGTTCTTTTGTGTTTCTTCCATTTGCGATTAATTGCACCAACTGTTGTCACCTTTTCACCAAGCTGCTTGGCAATGGTCTTGTAGCCCATTCCAGCCTTGTGTAGGTCTACAATCTTGTCCCTGACATCCTTGGAGAGCTCTTTGGTCTTGGCCATGGTGGAGAGTTTGGAATCTGATTGATTGCTTCTGTGGACAGGTGCCTTTTATACAGGTAACAAGCTGAGATTAAGAGCACTCCCTTTAAGAGTGTGCTCCTAATCTCAGCTCGTTACCTATATAAAAGAAACCTGGGAGCCAGAAATCTTTCTGATTGAGAGGGGGTCAACTATTTATTTCCCTCATTAAAACGCAAATCAATTTATAACATTTTTGACAT